TGAGTCTGGGTCTGGGAGGTCTGGGGAGTCTGGGACTGGGAGGTCTGGACTGACTGAGAGGTCCGGGGAGTCTGGACTGGGAGGTCAGGGGTGGTCTCTGGGACTGGGAGATTATGATGAGTCTGGACTGGGAGATCAGGGGCAGCGTCTGGGACTGGGAGGTCATGATGAGTCTGGACTGGGAGGTCAGGGTGAGTGTGTGACTGGGAGGTCAGGGGGAGTGTCTGGCCTCTGGGACTGGGAACTTTGGGGAGTCTGGACTGGGAGGTCCGGGTGAGTCTGGGACTGGGAGGTCTGGGGTGGTGTCTGGGACTGGGAGGTTATGATGAGTCTGGACTGGGAGATCAGGGTCAGCGTCTGGGACTGGGAGGTCATGATGAGTCTGGACTGGGAGGTCAGGGTGAGTGTGGGACTGGGAGGTCAGGGTGAGTGTGGGACTGGGAGGTCAGGGTGAGTGTGGGACTGGGAGGTCAGGGTGAGTGTGGGACTGGGAGGTCTGGGAGTCTGGACTGGGAGATCAGAGTGAGTCTGGGACTGGGAGTGGTGAGTCTGGACTGGTAGGGATGAGTCTCAGACTGGGAGGTCTGGGGAGTCTGGACTGGGAGGGGTGATTCAGGACTGGGAGATCTGGGGAGTCTGGACTGGGAGGTCTGGGTGTGTCTGGACTGGGAGGTCTGGGGAGCCTGGACTGGGAACTTTAAGAGTCTGGACTGGGAGGTCCTGGGGCGTGGGGCAATGCTACATTTGTTGGTGTATCTGTCTATTCGAGCCAGCTGGAGCCTGTACCATCTGACGACACCACCCTGTCTGTGTACACTCCGACCCTCTGTCCTCTCTGCCAGGAGCCTGTACCGACTGACGGTCCCTCTGTCCCCTCTGCTAGGAGCCTGTACCGACTGACGGTCCCTCAGTCCCCTCTGCGAGGAGTCTGTACCGACTGACGGTCCCTCTGTCCCCTCTGCTAGGAGCCTGTACCGACTGTATGTAACACCCCGACCCCTCTGCCGGGAGCCTGTACCGACTGACGGTCCCTCTGTCCCCTCCGCTAGGAGCCTGTACTGACTGACGACACGACCCTGTCTGTGTACACTCCGACCCCCCTGTCCCCTCCGCCAGGAGCCTGTATCGACCGACGGTCCCTCTGTCCCCTCTGCCAGGAGCCTGTACCGTCTGACGGTCCCTCTGTCCCCTCTGCCAGGAGCCTGTATCGACTGACGGTCCCTCTGTCCCCTCTGCTAGGAGCCTGTACCGACTGACGGTCCCTCTGTCCCCTCTGCTAGGAGCCTGTACCGACTGACGGTCCCTCTGACCCCTCTGCCAGGAGCCTGTACCGACTGACGGTCCCTCTGTCCCCTCTGCCAGGAGTCTGTACCGACTGACGGCCGAGAGCACCCTGCGCGCCTGTCTGTCGCTCTGTCTGTACGGCCAGCTGCCCGCTCAGCTGGCGCGCACCGTCCTCGGCCAGGCCTTCCTGGATAAGACCGAGCGGCAGATCCAGCACATGGTCGAACAGACAGTAACTATACTACTTTGGTAAACGGGTGGAGAGCCCGGATATACTGCTGGCGGTAGGGGAGGATGGGACCTTCCGGACGGCGGAGATGGGCCAGAGATGGGGATACATTAAAGGTAGTGTGCCAGCTTTCTTGGACCGTATGGAGTTAATGGCCCAGATAAGGAGAACCGGATTTTTAGAACTTATCCATACCTTCAAAACTCATGGAAACGTCTTAAATTCTTCAAATTTTGAGTACCCCAGTGCGAAATTCGCCCCGACGGGTTGTCGGTCGTACCCCAACCACATTTCACACCACTATGAACAATAAATGCACACACTGAAATCGCTATTACCGATATGCTCATCCAATCAAGTTTCGATAAACCCGTTCATCATCATCTCCTGCGGTTTCGAACACGCCTGTTAGGTGGCTTCTGATGCTCGTCGAGGTCGGAATTTCCAAATACGCGTGGTGCGTTGGGCCGCGCGCTCTGACTTCGGCCAAGAAAAATGCGTCAGCTGATCATTGTCATTTCTGCCACTTGCGTGTGGTGAAATGGGGTCATAACTTATAAGACGGCTTTTTCATATCAATTATTTTACATAAAATCATATTTGAAACCATAAATAATGTTCGACAGCCAAATAAAAGAAACAATACCAATACGGGATTACAGTTTAAGGCTCGACATTGTGTTGTCTACGATAAGACAGCTGATAACTCATTCCCGTACGTCGTATGGTCGTAACACTATAATGACCTTTGCTTATTGTCACAAGTGCGCCGCATTCGCGATTGTTGCCCGACGCCTGTTTGCAGGTGAGCCCACTACAGTTGTTATACATATCTAAAAACCGAAAAACTTTTAGGCGAAAAAGGCACTATTCCAGGCCCATTTTTGATTTTTTTTTGCGATATTAGGTAAAAACAGAAGCTTCTTATCCTAGGAAAAATAAAATGGGAAATCTTTCAAAGGTGGCACACTACCTTTAATGTTAATGAGGCGAGGGGTTTCAGTTTGCTCCTTTCCTAAATCAGCAATTGGAGCGCTCATTGTTGCGTCATCAAAATGTATCTTGTTGGGAACTGCCAAACTGGATTGTCGGCTGTAACAAGTTATGCGGGCATTAGCCAAGTCCATTTTTTCCTCGGCCCTGTCTGCCGGTACACTTTATCAGTAGACTGTACGCGTCACGCACCCACCCCACGGGCACAGTCCACCATTCGGTATATGTGCGACGCGTACACTGACCGCCGCCCTGTCGGCAGGGCGCGCAGCAGCAGGCGCCGGCCGGCGGCTGGCCGTCCCCGGTGGTCTGATCTGCGGGTGTCCGTTGACTGTCTGTGCTGTCGGCAGGGCGCGCTGCAGCAGGCGCCGGCCGGCGGCGGGCCGACCGCGCCGGCCGTCCGCGCTGCGGGTGCCCAGTCGGCGGCCACCCGGCTGCGGCGGCTGCAGATGGAGGTGAACCGCGCCGTCCGGCTCAACCTGCCCGACCAGAGCGTGCCCTGGTTCACAGACGTCTACGCCAAGGGACTGCCCGGTGAGAGCGCGGAGCCGGGGGCGCCGCGCCCGGACGCTGCCGATCAGGACGTGTGGAGGTGTGACTTACTCCACCATGTATAAATGTATGGTAAAGGCCAGGGGAATTCGGCCCAATAGTGATGTTTGGCTAACTATTCAGCTAAACCGTGTCCGTTTGAATCCGTCCCATTTTCGCAGTCATTGTATCCCGCCTCGTCGTCTCCCGACCTGCCCTCTCGATCTAACCCAGCCGCAGACCCAGTCTCCCCGACTCCGGCAGAGACCCGGCCCGACTCCTCGGTACGTCACTATAGTCCCCCGTCCGCTCTGTCGCAGACCCGGCCCCTGACCCCGCCCCCCGTCCCGCAGACCCGGCCCGACTCCCCAGTGCGTCAGTCAGCACAGTGCCCCGTCCGCTCAGTCGCAGACCCGGCCTCTGACCCCCCCCGCCCCCCTCAGACCCAGCCACGGGCGCGGCGCACCGGCAGCTGGTGGCTGAGGTGCGCGACACGCTGTCGGCGCTGGTCGGGGGCGCCGACCGCGTTCACTGCGGGGTGCGCGCCGCCGGGTACCAGTTCACCGCCGACCTGGTGGTGTACCGGCGGCCCGACGGCGGCTTCACCGACACGGACGGACCACGGGTCACCAGGTACTCGGGGGGGGGGAGGAGAGGGTCACCAAGTACTCAGGGGGGGGGACGGGTCACCAGGTACTCAGGGGAGGGACGGGTCACCACTCACCGGGGAGGGACGGGTCACCAGGTCAGAGGGGAGAGCTATTAGGTCAGTGAGGAGAGGCGTGTGCTGTACAGTCCTCTCACGCCCCGCCGCCATCTCTGTCGTGACCTTGTGTTTTGTGAGACGACGGACCGGGCCGCGACTCTTTTTGCTGGACTGTTTTGTTCTAAGCCCAGTGTGCCCCGGAGGTAAACATCCCGCTTTCTCAGCTGCCGCCATACAGCACTGGTCGGCCAGCAAAACCACTGATGGCTTACGGCACACACTGGGCGCGTTTATATTAATCATTCGACTATCTCGTCTCAGCAACCACTATCCCACCCACTGTCCCACATTCAGAATCTCCCTTTTAACCTGAGCTGACCTGACATGCTCGTCGTTTCGTGTTGGTAGCGGACCTTCTCTGGTATAATCCACAAGGCCGAAGTCACCATCCCTCTCCCCCGACCCGCCGCCTGTCCGTCGGTGTGGCGCCGCTGGTGCCACCTGACCCGCCCCCCTCCGTCCGGCAGTGTCGGTGCCCCCTGACCGGCCCCTCTGCCCTCAGCGTGGCGCCGCTGGTGCCACCTGACCCCCCCCCCCCCGGCCGTCCGGCAGTGTCGGTGCCCCCTGACCGGTCCCTCTGCCCTCAGCGTGGCACTGCTGGTGCCACCTGACCCCCCCCCCCTCCGTCCGGCAGTGTCGGTGCCCCCTGACCGGTCCCTCTGCCCTCAGCGTGGCACTGCTGGTGCCACCTAACCCCCCCCCCCTCCGTCCGGCAGTGTCGGTGCCTCCCCCCCCCTGACCGGTCCCTCTGCCCTCAGCTTGGCACTGCTGGTGCCCTCCACGCACGAGTACTGCACGAACCGTCCGCAGCCGACGGGCGGCCAGCTGCTGCGCCGCCGCCACCTGGAGATGCTCGGCTACACGGTGCGCACCGTCCACCCGCACCACTGGAACAGCATGGCGCTGGCCGAGACCGCCGACAAGCTGGCCTTCCTGGGCGCGCTCATAGACGGACGTAACCTGCTCGAGGAGCGCGCGTGACGCCGGCCGGCCGGCCACCGAACCGCGCCGGCCCGTGTCCACTAGTCTCCGCCGCGCCGGTACGAGAGCCTTGTTACGTGAGTGGTATGCTCAGTTGTTGGTGTGCTCAGTGAAGGTGCTGCTGTTTTGTAATACATGTCACATATAGACTGCTTACATTCATGCTGTCACATACCATTTGGGTTGGGACGTCATTTTTTTACACCAGAACACGGGTTAAACGCATACTTCATGTATGTATTATAGGTATTTGAGTTGGTTCTGGATAAGTATGCCATTATTCTAGTAACCTTCTTCTAAAGGTCGCTTTAAGGAAAGACACAGCGCTTGGCTCACAGTAATACGCTCGTAAAACATCAGTCAACACGGCCCTCCGGTACTACCATGCAATAATAACATGCTGGCGCCGGGCGCCCCAGTATACGAGTAATGACATCCATAAAACTGCAGGAGATGAGGTCCGTGGCACACTCGCCGCAATTATACATGCACCATGTGACGGGTTCGCACTTCCTCACAACACCCTCTGTATCAAACTAGACTGTTAAAAGTATCACCTGAGCCACTTTGAGCAGCGCTCCACGGTTCACCGCTACCATCTATGAGAACAGGACTCTGCGGCACGTGGTCGCCCAACTCCTCTGCGAACGGCGAGTTACGGGCACTCCATTCTCTCCATAATGGGACTCTGAGGAGGGCCAGGCGCCTGGCGGCGGTATCTACCTGAGCAGCAGCCAGTAGAGCGCGGCCAGCAGCAGCACCAGCAGGGCGGCGGTGCCCAGTCGGCGCAGCAGCACCTGCTCGGCGCCGCGCACCGTTGCCACGATCTCGTTGTTGCGCACAAACACCTCTCGGCTCTCGTCGATCAACTGGCGCCGGGTGACGTCGTCCAGCTGGTCAGCGGCCGCGTTCATGGCCGCCGCCAGCCGCGTCTTCAGCTGGCGGATCGTGTGCGCGCCGTAGTCGGTGACGGCGTTGCCCGGCGCGTCGGCGCTGCCGCCGAACACGCGGTGGAGCAGGCGGCGCTTGGCGCGCAGCACCTGGCCGCCGGAGAGCAGTCCCATGTAGAGGTGGTAGATGTAGGCCATGAGCAGGTGCGGCTCGTCGCGCTCCAGGTCGGCCAGGTGGTCCAGGTAGCGCTGCACGGCCGGCCGCGGCGCGTGCCGCAGCCGCCACTCGGCGCCCAGGTAGTGCGCCAGGTCGGCCTCGAAGGCGGCGCGGCGCCGCATGCCCGGCACGTCCAGCTCGCCGACCAGACTGTCGCCCAGCCGGTCCAGCGCCGACTCCAGGTAGGCGAACACATCATAGAACACCAGCAGGCCCTCGGCCCAGACGGCGTTGTCCGACAGCGCTGCCGGCACCGACAGGATATGTTGGGGCGGCGACAGACACAGACACTCGGCGCCGACAGGGTATGTTGGAGCGGCGACACTCGGCACCGACAGGATATGTTGGAGCAGTCACAGACGAGACAAACAGCCGACAGGACATTATTGGAGTGGTAACGGGCGACACCGGCACGGCGTTTGACTGGTGACGAACACTCCACGCCTGGGGTTCCCTGTCGCAACGAATAATTACAATGTGTATTACACCGTTCAAAGGGGTGGAGATATGGCTGCGACCACATCCTATCTCTCAGCTTTACCAGATAAAGGATTAATTTGCATCCACATTTATTCTATGCTCCGGAGCGAGCACGGGTTGGTGCATGCTTATTGCTTACCGATGCCGAGTTTGGCGTTGATGAGCGCGTCGCTGACGCTGTGTATGTCGCGGGTGGCCTTCCGCATCTGTTTGGTGAACGGAATGTCCTCGACATGCTCTGCTTGAGGCGCCATGGTCACTGCGGAAGAGTTGTTCAGTCTTACTCCGGGGGATGGAAAGGAAGTTTTTACTTTGATAACTGCAGAACTCGAGCACAACTCATCGGTTGGAGAACCGTGTATCTGCTCGGTGGAGGGCAGCCATCAAAATTTGTTTTGGAGATCGTGATCTCTGCCATATTCAACTTCTGCTGTGGTCCATTCCAACGCTCCATTCCACGCCAAAGCCGAAATACTGTGTGATAAGATAGTGAAAAATTGATGGTTTAGACTCAGAGGGAACTATAGAACAGTGGTTTGTGTAACAGCATTTATCACAAGAGCTTGTGCGCAATCCGTTAAATGCACAAATGTTCCTTTGCAAATGAATCTCACAGTCTTGCATGATGACAAAGAAATGGATGGATGGATGAAAAGGATGGAAATGGAATGAACTTAACATTGACACAACCGCTTCAAAATCTCTTAACCAATATTTTTGACCCGCTGTTGAACACCACCGTATATCACTTTTATTAAATGTAGCACATAGGTACTACACGCAACAACGCCCGCATTTATGAGCTAGCTAGCATGTCAACTTCAGCCGATATAAAGCAGTTCACCGTCGCATTGCGTAACTAACAGGAACGTAGTAATGACGCTTCAAATTCATATTCAACACAGTCATATGAAACGACGCAATTTCTAATCAAACAATTTACATTAAAGGCAATGAAAATAAAGGGATCACCTACAAATCAACATGTAAAAGAGCACAGATCAGCAGGCGACCACCCCCTGGTCCCATCAGCTGGCCGTGGCGTCGCCCGAAGGCTTCACCTGCTCCCCATCTGCCTTCAGTTCCTTGCTGTCATTCTCGGTCCCCGCCTGAACGTCAGGTGCCCCCGTTCGGTCGACGGGCGCCCCCGGCCCGTCATCGGTGGCCTCCTCGGGCGCCGGCTCCAGCCGGTAGCCGGGGGTGAGCTGGCGCAGCCGGCGGCTCCAGTCGACTGTCACGGCCACCTCCAGCGTCACCTCCCGGAACACCTCACTGCGTCCCACCTCCGAGAACCCCATCCCGGCGAACATCCGACGGCTGGCCTCGTTGTCAAAGCCGATTTTGACCTCGAAGCGCGTTAGGCCGAGCGTCTCGACGCCGTAGCGCAGCATGGCGGCGGCGGCCTGCCTGCCGCGGCCGGCGCCGCGCGCCCACCGCTCGGCAATCATCACCTCGGCCTCTGCTGCGGCTCCGTCCGCCAGGAAGAGGTTCACGTCGCCCACCATGGCGGCCGGCTGGTGGCCGCACCGCTCCAGCGCCGCCCGGTCCAGCACGATGAACGTGCACTTGTCGTCATCATTGAGCCAGCTCTGCTGCATGGCGTACTCCTGGTCGAGGGTCAGCGGCTCGGAGGCGGTCAGCTGGCGCAGCTCGGCCGACTGCATCCACTCGTGGTACTTGGGCACGTGACTGGCGCGGTATGGCACCAGCACCACTAGCTCCGTCCAGACGGCCGTACCAGCGTTGGTCCTCATTGTCGGCCAGTACGACTGCAAGAGGACCCTCCCTGAGAATATGTCTGACAGCTTGCCTTAATCACTAATACCCACTCTTTTACTGTTATCTGGGCTTCATCATCATATTTGGAGCAGCAGCAAAGCTACCCTTGTAATAAAACATTAGTATCCCTATAAATAAAGCCAGCTATGCCTAGTGCTTTAGCTGAGTAACCCCATTCAAGTTGACAATGCATCTACTGAAAAGCAGAACAAGCAGAAAAATAAACATGATCTATTTATTGTGAGTTAAATTGTCTCCCCATAGTCATCCAATGCACCTGATAGTAAACCTTACCTGTATGCAATTTGTGGCCCTGGCACCTAATAACGTGTTGTCAATTACCATTGACCAAGTGGCTCCTCATGAAGTCAAAAAGGTTAAGTGGTTGACCTCATAACGGCCTCAGTTAAAAAATCACAAGGATCAGTGACTACACAGCTGTTTGGCGCCTCCACAGATGATTGGATTCAGATGGCCAGGTAGGTTCCAGACTTCCAGATGCATGTATGAATTAGTAGGTACAAAAGCACTTATGTATGTGCTTAAGTCAAGGTACAATATTCACACTGTCCATAATAACTAGGTATCTGACAACATTGGCCACACATCACACTTCATCAGCACACATCAGTCTATGCAGTCACTCATCATGACGCAAGAACATTCGTCAGAGTACAAGTTTCAGGGTCAGGGGACTTAGGTCTTGGCACATCTTTGATCATATCTGGACACATCTTTTTTGTACATAGCTGCCACAAAACTGGCATGCTGGCTGCTGCACACATTACACAAGCCCCTATTACAGGTAAAATGATAAAATTATGATTCTGCTGACCAAAGTCAAAGTCATGCAATGCTTTTCAAAAGGTCTGACCTGAAAACACACCTGTAGGAAGCAGTTTGGACCAAAATTCCAGTCAATGTTGTTACTTGTTAACACAGTGATCCTTAACCCGCGCACCGACGGGGGTCTGCGCCAACTTAGTACCGACGGGGGGGCGGATGACCGCCCCCGAGATCTCGAGAACGAAGCAAGATAGCGACAAGCGGTAAACGGCATCGGATACGCACGGACAAGGTCTACAATTTTTACTAAGGTCATTTTCAGGTCAGGTCAAAGATGACGTCACAGGGGTCGAAAAAGTCAAAATGGCGGCGCTAGATATGGAGAGGGTTTTTCTCGAATAACTTTCGAAGTAGTCAAGATAGGAACAAACTAAAGGCATCATCGTGATCCTCTCGTCAATCCGCATCGAATGATATAGATGTTGACCTCGAAAGGTCAAGGTCAAAGGTTGACCTCAGGTCACGTGACCTCGAGGTCATCATGTATATCATTCGATGCGTCTTGACGAGCTGAACACAATGAGACCATCCGCGCGGCTGTATCTTGTTCCTGTAAGGAGTTATCGGCAAAAAACCTTTGGTGACCTTTGATGACGTCACATGACCTTACAGCTGCCCAACAGCAAAACAGACCTCAAGGTAGTGAAGGTTGATCGTATGTGAAGTCATGTATGGTATATGGGGCCATTCCGACCCGTTTTAGTGGTAAAAACAGGGAGTTGATTTTTCCCCCATTGACTTATAATGGGGAGGTCGCGAAATTGACCTGACCTTAGGTCACCGACATCAAAATTCCGAGATATACAAATTGTAGCTACTAATGACCTAATAACATCCTGCGACTTTCAAAGGCCTCCGACATCTACTGTAGCTCTGGCACGGTGACAAAGTTGCAAAAAAGTGACTTGAGGTTGGGTCATTCAAAGTGACCTGGTGACCTGACCTTAAAAGTTAGGAGGTTCAAACTTGCACACCATGTGTAAAATTGATGAGAGAATAGTCATACCAAATTTTGCGGCGCTACGCGCCGCGGTTTTCCCGCTATCCGCGAAAAACCTCAGGGGGGGGGGCGGATATCCGCCCCCCCCCCCCGTCGGTGCGCGGGTTAATAATAAGTACACTCAAGTCATTTAAAGACAAGGTATAGATTACAGAAGGTGAACTGTAGAGGGGAGTTTCTGGCTTCTGGGATCTCTGAACATGCCAAGCTGGTAAGTCTAGCCCTTACTTATTAGTAAGAGGTGGCTGCATAACAGAAACAGCCGGTTAACTAATCCTTCAAACGCAACTTTGAGACAGAGGCACCCTTTGGCCTTTACTGAGATTGTCAGGGGCTCTTGTGCTGATCTGATCAAAGATGTGTCCAGAAAGGTTACCTAATGGTGTAAACTGTAAAAGATACAATACATCAGCTAGAGGATTCAGAGGAAATCTGGAGAGAGAGAGAGAGAGAGAGAGAGAGAGAGAGAGAGAGAGAGAGAGAGAGAGAGAGAGAGAGAGAGAGAGAGAGAGAGAGAGAGAGAGAGAGAGAGAGAGAGAGAGAGAGAGAGAGAGAGAGAGAGAGAGAGAGAGAGAGAGAGAGAGAGGAGAGAGAGAGAGAGAGAGAGAGAGAGAGAGAGAGAGAGAGAGAGAGAGAGAGAGAGAGAGAGAGAGAGAGAGAGAGAGAGAGAGAGAGAGAGAGAGTCAGATTTTTCATGTCAGATTTCATGGAAAAGGACTTCAAACCGCTGAAGTTCGATGTACTTCAACTTACCACAAAAACGAAATTATATAAGTTCCCTCCTATCTGTATCAGTTCACACAGCATGAATTCATGCGCCATAGATAGCCTTCCGTGCGCCAATTATGTATAAGTTAATTAGAGATGCGTGAACTAAATTATTACACATAAAAGGGCAACGTGTTGCCCCGTACTCGGGGCGAAGCAGTGCAGTGCCGAAGGCAATGCCTTAGGAGAGATTACAGGCAATGATAAGTCAAATATTTTTAGGTTAAGTGGTTGTGTATCTGGCTTCAGGCCGAAGCCCTGAAGCCTGATGCGCAACCACTTAACCTGAAAATATTTGACTTACCATTTCTTGCAATGTATTCATGCGAGCAACTGTTTTCTTATCCTCAGGTAGGCAAAATCAGTAGGTCAGGTTAGGTCAGGTGAGGTTACGTTGTTTTGTTTTTATTTTGCCATATTTTATTTTCAATATATTTATTCTTTCTATTTTATGGAATTCTAGAGTATTTTTTGCGCTACAATTTTGCCGCACTTTGCACACATGGCGCGTAACACTGAACTCGCGCATAAACATCGAGAACGGCCTTGCTTGTACCAAGGCCCTAAGAAACGAAATGAAAAATCTATTGCTAAATACAAGGTTGCACGGACTTATTTCTACTAAACCTACCAGAATATAGTTTCACGGTTGATTATTTAAATAATTATTCAATCAAAATTTCTTTATTATTATCTCGTAATCATTTATAAGCAATTTTATAAATCAACTTTCAATTTGCTTGCCTTTTACTAGCAAAATAACTTTTCTAGTATTGGGTCAACATAGTGGTGTAGCAGTAGGAACCACATCTGGCAAAACCCCAATGCCTACATACAGCAGAAAAGCAGCCACCAGGTGTCGCCACAGTCGCCACTTGGTCGCCACACAGATGTCGCGCGCGTCGCCAATCGCCACACTACCGATTTCCATAAGGACGCATATGTACGGATATGTATAGGAAAGTCGCCCTTAAGGATTACGCTTACATCCTTTGCTTATGAGGTGGGTGGTTGGAAATTGGGAGGGGCTCAGCTATTTTTGACCACGGATATGCCTTTATCACGTGATGAGGAACATGCTGATAAGCGTTTTATGCGTCATAACAGCACAAAAGTATTTTTAATCATTTTTCAAAAATAGCCGTTCTGCCGTATCTTTCAGTGCAAGGTGCCGTTGGTCATCCCCGACGTGACGTCACGCAGGGAATTTGCCAGATTTTCCTACTAGACTTCGACACCCTTGTACGAAATACGGTTGGTATCAAGGCTATAGAACTCCAGGTAAGGACACCAGCCGTTTGACCTTGAACGCCGCCGGCCGGCCGATGACGTCATTGGAGGCAAGCCGGCTCGGCGGACACACAAGGCGAATGCATAACGGAGGGGCGTTGGAACGTTGCGGGAGCCGGGGAGATATTTTAATGTGGTTGTATACCACCATTGTTATGTTTATTGATCTACAGACTGCATTCTTTTAAACCTCGATGCACTCTAGGCCTGGATGGTTCGTACATTCGTGGAACGATCACCCCGTCCGAAGTCCGTGGTCGAAGCTGTCATAGTATTAAAGACACTAAGACGGGTGCAATAACGGCGATCCGATCCCGTCTCTGGCGAATCTAGAGGGGTCGTAAGGACCCAGGCCGAATCTGACCGTCTATTTTTAGGGAAACGGGGTGGGTGAATTGACAACCGATGGCTTAAGAGATAATGAGAAGAGATCCCGTCGTCGATTGTTGTTTGACAGACAACACATGTTGTACTGGACGTATGACCATCAGAGGTAATGCCTGAACGTAGGCAAGCATAATTGTTCTGTCATACTGTTTAGGAATATAAAATGGTAATGGAGATTATTGAGGATATGATCTCTACATTACAGGAATTCGCTAATTACTACGGCCCATAGGGGCACCGCCGGAGCTGTTGTTTTGCCATCGGTCCCAGGCAACTCCAGGGAGCTGCAGTACCCGGCGGCCAAAGCGGCCCACCTCGTCGACTCGCAGGTCCTGTGGGATTCCGTGATGCTTTAGTGCTTCACCCACAGAAGCACGGGCATAGCAGTAGGATGTGGGGCTAGGTGTCTGTCCACCTCTTCATTGAAAGAACAACGTATACAGCGCCTGGTCCCGCCGAAGCTCGGTATCGACCGTGACTTATTCACAACTGGCGGATCCAGGAAGCGGTCTTGGACACTGCGGGGGCTTACCCCAAAAAGGTTTCTCGGAATTAATTTAAAAAAAAAACTCTGATTTCGATTCCTTGCGCACTGCTGTGCAGTGTGATTAACCAACATTTCCTCAGAAAAGTTGTGAAGTTTTCTTTGATTCTCGAAAAGCGATTTCGGGCGCTTCCAATGTGGGGGAAGACATTTGCCCCAAATGCCTTCCCCTGGATCCGCCAGTGGGTTGCCCCACTCCGAGCTTGACTAAAACCATTTTCAAACCCCACCAGAAACCGATGGTAAGGTGAATTTAAATCCAATAACTCATCTCTGTCTGCCCGCCTAAATATGTATACAACACATGGTACGGCACCCGGCCCTGTCTGAGCTATGAGCCGATCGCGATATTTTCGGCTTTCCCCAACCCAAGCTCGATTAGGAACGTTCTCCTTCCCCACCCGATTGCTGATGTCAATTCAAATTCAATACCTCATCTCTGTCGGCCCGACCATAACCCATTCATTGCACACCGTTCAGCGCCCCGCCCCGCCAGAAGTATCCTAGCGCGCTGAGCAGTTGCCTCCAGCCGCGTCATCGCGAGGCCCCGCGCGGCCCATAAATTAATACATTGCGCGAATAGCCGTGTCACCCCCCTGGTTGGTATAAGTGTGATCAAGGCCGTATAAGTGTGATCAGAGTGCGATATATCAAAAATTATTGTCCATTTCAGTGTTTCCATGATGGTTTCCAGTGGCGGATCCAGGGGGGGGGGGCAAAATGGGCATTTTTTAAAAATTTAGTCCGAACCTTTTGATGGGAAGGATTCACAAGGACAGAGCCACCGCTAAGCGAAGGTTGTTGCGGTGACCCTGCCCTCTACCCTCCGATCGCGCAATTCCAGTTCTATGGCAGAGTTTAGAGTCAAAAGTTTAACGTGCGCACATAGCCGCGCACGGGCCACGGCCGGTCCCTCACTGACTTCACCTGGCTACGGCCTGCCACCAACCGCAACCATACCTGTCAGGAGGCCCATAAATGTCAAGCGCCCGTCGCGCTTCGAACCCGGACTGTTGTAACCGGGAACGCGTGCTCTCACCACGCGGAGTCCAACGCTCTACTAACTGAGCTACGTGATTTCCCCCCCCAAACGGCATAATTTTAACATTACGCCTATGGACGATGCATGGAAAGAATCGATAAATTTTATGGTTTGCCCCCCCAAAACTCTGAGCTGGATCCGCCTCTGATGGTTTCCACGTTATTTAGCATGGAGAAGTAGATTCTCACCATAGAAAATGTGTGATTTGATAGGCAAAGGTCTTCAAAATCACCGGCCTTGGTTGCGTTGTTAGCTACCCAGTGGCAGTGTATACGGGTATATGTTTTAGGGCCTTGTTAGTGTATATAAATCATATAAATACCTAGTAAGCATAGTAGACTAGCTGCCACCTCATAGGAGGTATCTTACACTAGGTATCTTACAGGTCAGTCTGAGTCGGGGGAGATTTGGTCAATCGTCATTTTTAGCACATGCCATTGTTGGCAGCTATGTGCCAAAAATGACAACGCTATCAGCTATTTTTGGCAACGATGAAGCCGATTTCACTCCTCAGCGAGGAAATCACGACTTTGGAATTACAAGCACTGATTTTGGAAAAGAAGTGCTGCCACCTGGTGCAAGAAGAATAAACCAGCTTTAATCTGGCCATTGTTTGTATGGTAGTCCAACGTTGATGTTTACCCTTTTTTGTGGCCTGAAATTGGAACTTTAATTTGCAGCTTCTGAAAATGATCAATATTGATCAAAAACATTATTTTGATGACCAAAAGAGAATGGTTGCCATTTTTGGCACATGTGACAAAAACAGGGGCGGATACAGCCATTTTCAAAGGGAGGGGCCAAAACCGGTCACTTTCCGAGCCCATTCAAAACTCCAAACTGAGGCTTAGGGTGCACCGATTACCCACCCTACCCCGAAAAGCACGCTACATGGTAAGTTTAACCCGCGCCCTGCTGGAGCGCGGGTTATTTCTGGCATTCCTGGTATTTCTGGCAAATATGATCATACATCTTGTCTGCATGTGTGTAAACTTCAGACCGAGGGCACTCAAGGTCAGGTCGCCAGGTCACGTGAAGTGACCTCACCTCATAAAAGGTTTCCATGTCTGCCATAGCTACACCGAGTGAAAGATCGCTTTGAAACTTTCAGCGATTGATAAGAGCAACCGTATGTACCAAATTTTCATCTCGAAATTCTGACATCGGTGACCTAAGGTCAGGTCAATTTTGCAACCTCTCCGTTATAAGTCCATGGAAGAAAATGAAAGGCGCCTCTTTTGGACGAATGCCATTCAAAATACTTTAAAACACCGAATTACAAAGTAAACATGCCACGATGAACTGGAAAATGGCTCCCGTGACCCCTCTTTATGTCCCTTAGGTCATCTCACGTCACGAAAGGTATCTAACAGTTCTTCGCGAATAACTTTTCATAGAGGCATACTAGAGCGATGAAAACGCCTTAGGTGTATTCAGCTCGACGATACGGATCGACTGAAGGCAGCATGACCTTTTCCGGTCAGGTCATGGCCTTAACCTGAGGTCAAATTTTGAAGTTGGCTTTTCGAGGTCAACTTATAGTTCATTCGATGTTTCTTGACGAGAGGAACACGATGCCGGTAAAAGTGGTGGACGGTAAAAACAGGGCGCCTGGCGCGATTTGATCAAGACTTTTGAAATTCACTTGGATAGAGCACGTGACAAGTGGCGTGTGGAAGGAATAGGGAGGGGAGAACTTCTTGATGGTCAATTGACTGTAGGTATATACGCTCCGGCGTCCTGTTTTCACCGTCCACCGTAAAAGTGACCTCGTGCAAGGTTTGAGTCAAAATTTATTGCAGAAAAACTGTTTCCGCAAAAATCGTCTATTTTGCCAGTTTTTCCCTTGCAGGTAAAACCGTTGTCCTTGGGTCAAATCTGAAAGAATTTTCCAGAACGAGCGCAAATAGGGCTATAAAATACGCTTTTCCGGGGCACTGTAACTCTATTGGTTCCCGAGTTATGCGCCGGTTTGTTGAAACTTGTTGACATTCAGCCTGAAAATTTGGCCTTCGATGACCTATGGGCTCTAGTGATCTGATCTTTGACCTGACCAAAATGTGACCAGATTAAGTTCGTCATTATTTTGACACTCTTTCGAACGCTGCCTTCCCCGTATCGCTACATGGCCCAGGAGCCGAGTTAGAAGGGGGGAGTGTTCAAACACCCCCGCCCCCCAGCATAGCGTGGAAATCCAGGAGCCCCAGCAGTATAAGTAATCATGCCGCTAAGAAATTTGCGATTCTGTCATTCCTACCGAAACGTCCACCTCTCGACTCAACGTGCTACGATAGGGGCGCCACCACCCTATTTGTCACATGTTGCCGATCGCATAGGCGGCGGAACGGGGAGGGCACCGGGGCACCGTGCCCCCTTTGATTTTGCCATTTTAACATTAGTCCTATGGGCGTTACATGGAAAGAATGGGACCAAAAGTCGGCAGTGTCCCCCTTTAATTGAAGGTGTTCCGCCGCTACTGGCCGATCGCGTCCCAGAGGCGATTTTACAGGGGTGAAATCAGTTGCAGAAAGGGGGTGGCAAATCCCATTTTGCCCCCCCCCCCCCAAACCTGATTTTGGCCCAGTTGGCCCCCCTTGGATCCGCCAGTGGACAAAAATAGCACGTGCTAAAAATGACAACAATTGACCAAACCTCCCCCGACTGAGGGAGGTTGTTTGTGCCGAGTGGGCAAGCTTCAACTTTAAATAGTTCCTATCTGCCGTGCCAACTGCCATGTGTGCAAATTATGGACATATGCTGTATGCATGCATTCCTACTTGCCATGCATGCAGATATGTCAAACTGGGTGCATCTTGGGCGTGCACCCGTCTTTGCAGTGGGGCTGCAAGCCCCCCCCCCCCTCTCCCTGGATCCACCAGTGCCAATGCGTGGTCCCTTGAGTAACCATTTATGTTTCATGATTCCTTATCATGTAGTACCATCAACTTGAAATAATGTTGATGTTTGCTTTCAGATTGTATCTGATTGTTCACTTCCAAAGAAGCTTCTCATACCTGCAATAATGGCTGACGAGGAACAGGTGAGAGTGAATTTTGGGTACTTAGTTTTAGATATTCACATAGCATAGTGTAATGCATAGTGTTATTGTACAAAAATAGTGTTTGTATCAATAAAGTTGAGTAGGATCTGATTGCCCATTGGTTACTTAGGTGTGGGTACTCCTCATCGATTAGGAATGGGTGGCTGCTGTATGATGAGCTAATTGAGAAACAATGCTGTTGCAGGCACCAACTGTGACTGTCGAAGAGCCACTGGATCTCATTAAACTCAGCTTGGATGAGCGGATCAAGGTGAAGATGCGCAACGAGCGAGAACTCAAGGGCCGTCTGCATGTGAGTACATGTGCGAGCGGCTCGCCTATTTCTGTATTGCTTCAGCTTTGTATCTCAGTGCTTTATTTTAGTTCTGCTTTGCATATGTTTTCCTTTCATTTCTTCTTTTGTAACTTGGTAAACTTAGTGTATAGTCATCTTAAACACTTGTTTTATTGTATGATCTATGGTCCATCACTATCTATCTATAATATATCTATTCTGTACTGGCTTGCTGGCGTATTTGGCCGTTACCCGGCCTGTAGTGTTGTACTGCCAGGCGGCTGAGCTGACGGGTGCGGACGGACGGCGGCAGGGCTACGACCAGCACTTGAACATGATACTCGGAGACGTCGAGGAGACGGTCACCACCGTTGACATCGACGAGGAGACCTACGAGGAGGTGCACAAGACCACCAAGCGCACCATCCCCATGCTGTTCGTGCGCGGCGACGGCGTCATTCTCGTGTCGCCGCCGATGCGCGCCGGCATGTAGCTGCCGCGCGCGTGCTGACATCTAGCGGGGAGCGGCGCGAAGCTTGGCCCACCGGACAGCAAGGGGCGGGGGGGGGGGGCGGTCTAAGCGAGACATGTCTCAGTCTATATTGTTTTCATTGTCATTGGAAGAGCATCATACACTTGTTTATCATATGCCTTCATTTCTTTGTGGCTGTTTGGATTCGCGTTTTGATTCGGTGGGCATCGAGGGTTAAAATGGAGCGAGCTCGACGAATAAAGTGAGAATTGCCTGCATCAGTTCACATACCATGATTGAATCTGCTTCTTTCAAACTTCAACCTCGTTGATCGATTCTGATAGCTTCATCAGAGGGTACGGGTGTATGCTGATTTTTGTTCTTGCGTAACACACTATTATAATAACAATATTACAGGCGAGATAATTTATTCATCCACATCATTTCTTACATAGTAATCAATTTTTTACTCACTAAACTGGAAAGCATCATCAAGTTTTTATGTTGCATAAAAAGTTGCTTGACGTACCATGTGTTTGTCCTACTGCACTTGATAACAGATGAAATATGAGACTCTCCATGCTATTATTGCATATTTTGCGTGTAAGCATAGCAGTTTTTCATCGCACAGGCTGGAAGACTTAGAAGATTCTAGGCACCGTAGTTTATATGTGTAATGAAGAACAAAGTCAGTTATTGGTGATATTGTTTTATCTCTGTGTCCACTGTCCCTAAGTCATTAGCGGGTCAGCTTGTCCCCCCCCCCCCCGACACTCTGACCAGGCACCCCTCAGATTGATATAGATCCGATGAGATTTTGGAGTCTGGGAAAAATGGGAAGTACTTTTCTGAGAATGCCTGAGAGGTCGGACCCGGTCGGAGCGTGCAGTTCTAGCCGGAGTCGGAGTCGCCAAAATCTGGAGGATCTAACTTCAGACTCGGAAATGTCAATGCTGTGCTTCAATCCACGTTCCTAGTTGGTTCTTTATTACCTTTTACAGCTGATTTTCATAAGTTTTGAAAGAGCTGACCCAAAACTTTTGCTCAAAGCGTGACAAATCTTCGAGGCCATGTTTCGGGGTCTTTCTCAACTCTGGTAAAATGTCTGCGACAGACTCAAGTACGGTTCAAGTGCCGCAGGGCTCATGAGCTTGCTTCTCACGCAGGCCCCTAAGGAGCTACACTGAGCTCTAAGAAGCCTAAGAAGCTCTGGCTAGCTTCAGAGGGCCCCAAACCGGCCTCTGAGGGTCCCACTGGTGCCCATTCTTTGAGGATCTTATACATACGTAGACCTCTGAAGGGCCACACGGATCTGCCTTCATTTTTTTTTTTTTGAGAACCTAAACTGGCCTCTGATAGCTCAGCCGAGCCCTTGCGGCATCAGATCTTGCTGACCCCAAGCCGGCAGCTGAGCGGTCACGACTCACGCACGTGCCTCTGAGGGTCCCACATGTTCCTTATATCCCTAGTAGGGTCCTTAGGGATTCGCCACAGACCTCGATGGTTCGCACTGTTATCTGAGGGCTCCAGGCTCACCCTGCGGCCTGGGTCTGGTCTCTTAGCGCCCGCCGCCCACGCTGGCTTCTGAGGGTCCCACCTTGGGCTCGGAAAGCCCTAAAGCCCCACATACACGTAAAGTCGTAAATGTTTTAGGTGATCCACGCCGATCTCCGGGATCCTAAGCTGGCTTCTGAGAGCCCACGCTGACCCTGAGTGGCCTACAATGGCCTGAGAATCCCAAGCCTACCTTAAAGGCATCCCTTGCCGTAATGCCGTGTACATTTTGTTTCGCGTTTGCATCGCTTCCCTACACACGAAAAAAGGTGAGAATGTGAACAAAATACTTCCTCTCACTGGAGCAAAGATGAATGGCTTCCGATTAACATTTCCGACATTCATTCTCCGCCGAATGTCCAACTTAGCTACTATCAGCAGCTGGCATAAGCCCCATGTGTTTCACATATAAACTCTGCATGCGTGGATATAGGTTTTTGCCAGGTGAACCGATGAAATGCATCGTTTTTTAACCTTTTTTTGGGTGATGATCATGAGCAACCAGCGTCTGCGCAGGGGTCTCTAAGTGGGTCGGCAATCGCAACCACTGTGAAATAATTCTGTCGATCGTATTTTTTTGCCAGTTTTTTTTTTTATTTTTGAACTTTTCTGTACTTACCTAAAAATACATGTCATATATAAAAGGAAAACTTAATCATAGGCGGCGGAACGAGGAGGGCACCGGGGCACCGTGCCCCTTTTGATTTTGGCATTTTAACATTAGCCCTATGGGCGTTACATGGAAAGAATGGGACCAAAAGTCGGCAGTGCCGCCCCCCCCCCCAATTGAAGGTGTTCCGCCGCTACTGAAAACTTTGTCACTGTCTTATTCGTCGCACCATGGCGCGTCAAATGATATGCAAAACGAGTGAGTAACAGCCAGCTGGAGAAAGTGCAGCTTTAACCAGTGGCGGCGGAACGCGTTCAATAAAGGTGGGGATCACCGCCGACTTTTGGTCCCATTCTTTCCATGCAACGCTCATAGGGCTAATGTTTAAATGCCAAAATCAAAGGGGGCACCGCCCCGGTGCCCCCCTTTCGGCCCCCGTTCCGTCGTCTATGGCTTTAACACAAAAATTATTTTGCCCTCTCCCCAACCCAAAATGTCTGGCGACGCCTATGGCGTGGTCCACTTCATAGTTGGGACAAGTGAGGTCTGAGAACTGAGCAAGTGACGTTCATTGTCAGTCATATCGCGATTCACTTTAATTCACGCGACATCGTATGATGGCGGCCGTCCAGCCGGAAACAGGGATATGTGGCTTTGAGGTGGACTTGTGCTTTCTTACTCCTGACAGCAAATAAGAGGGGTCAGGGGCGAGGTTGTCGGTGCAGCTATCTATGCGTAAAATATCACGGAACAAAAGAATGCGGTACAGCAAAAGGATTCAGGCGCTGGTGATAGTGTCATCTATGGACGAGGTATGAAGCTGCACGGCTGTGCGGTAACAAAAGGATGCGGTACAGCAAAAGGATTCAGGCGCTGGTGGTAGTGTCATCTATGGACGAGGTTTGAAGCTGCACGGCAGTGCGGCACAGCCTATATTCAGGCGTGTTTGGTGGTGCCATCTATGGACGAGGTTTGAAGCTGCACTGTCGTGCGGCACAGCCTGTATTCAGGCGTTATTGGTGGTACCATCTATGGACGAGGTTTGAAGCTGCACTGTCGTGCGGCATAGCCTCTTTTCAGGCGTTGTTAGTGGTGCCATCTATGGACGAGATTTCTAATCGCATTGTCATGCGGCACAGCCTGACGCCTGTATTTAGGCGCTGTTGGTGGAGCCATCTATGGGTGAGGATTGAAACTACCTGTCGTGCGGCACAGCCTAATATGTTCAGGCGCTGCTGGTAAAGCCATCTATGTGTGAATTTGGAAGCTACGATGATTCCTAAAGAAAAAGTTAGGATGCAAGTCGCGTGCAATATTAACCTACCATACCGATGGAATTCAAGACTAAACTTAGGTTGATTTTCAGGTACATATGATATATATGTGTACACCAAGTTTTGAAGTCCTAGCACCTTTTGCTACGTCTTTACTTAGAGCCCTTTAAAGTAAAACAGATTGCCGTTCGGTCAAAATGGAGAAAATCGGGAACAGAGCTGTTATAAAGTATTTCAATTTGAAAGGCATGCTTTCATCTGAAACAAAAAAGGATCTGAAATTTGCCTTATTGGTTGTGATTCATCATGTGACACTGTTGTAATTTGAGCTGCTAATTTCAAGCAAGGAAGGAACAGCGTTTAAGATGAACAAATGTAAATACGCCGCAGGATGTGACAAAATCCGGAAACACTGACCCTGCCCTGGGCTGGGGATGCTGGATCTAAGACTGTGAACTCATCAGATAGTTGAATAATATTGAGGGTTTCTTTGAAAATTGTGTTGAGCCCCATTAAGATTAAAAAATAAGCAAGTAATAGCCTTTGGCTCATTGTATAATTGACAAAAGGAATGGAAAAGAATATACAGGGTGTCTCAAAAGTTCGTTCACAGGTACCAGCCATGCTTTTTTGTCAATAATTCTGAATCAACAAGAAATTAACAGTCGAAATTTTGCATGGGCATTGGTGACAACCTTCCTCAAGCAGTCTCATTGTTTTCAAGTGCATTCGACCCTTCATGAGCTCACAAAAAGGGTTCACCTCTGACCATGGGTCAGGCACGAAAATGTAGGTTGCAAAGTCGGGTATGTTGTGAAACTCTGTTTCAGGAGTAATGGGAATGGTTAAGTCGGAAATGACACATGGCTAAGTGTCGGCGAGGATGAGCGCAACATGATGATCATCTCATAAAAACGGTGGCTAAAATTTTTGAAGGACGAAACCATGCGAGACTAACGGCGTTTTGAACGACCCTCGCACGACAGCAGACTCGTGTTCCGGAAAGCAGCTGAAAATGCGGTCATAACTATTGAAAACTGGCAAGAAGGTCACAGACAGAGGTTACCCATTTTCAAAAAGTGCAGGTCATCGTAAAATAAAGACAAATTATAATTTAAAGTTGTTTATAATATCTATAACGCTAATTTTTGGGGACAATAACACAAAAATCGTCAATGCCAAGGACACCTGACCCTCCAAAAGTGTCAGTTATTGTAAAATTTTATCTAACGAAGTTTCAAGAGGCAGATCTGCAGCGAATAATTTTCTTTTAAACACAAGATCCCGATAAAACCACACGATGGACAGGTTTGGGCCGTTTACAAAGCAGAACATCTCCCGAGGAAAACACTCCGCAACCGAGCGAAGGTCTTGGCATGGGGAATGACGAGCGCTTGGAATTTGCAAAATTTGCACAATGTGTCTGAGAAACAGACGTCCGACACATTCTGCTACCATATGATGCGAAAAATTTACTCCTGGCACTTCCCGTTTGTTCAGGACTGGGGTCGTTTTGAAAAGGAAAATGGCGCTTGGGATGTCGGCGCCAGTCATTCATGAAGGAGTTAGCGCCAGAGAATGCCTACAAAATACTCAAGAATGGTGTCGATGCAAGCTGTCGGCTTTCAGGGAAAATCAGATGTTGCCGGGGAGCTAGTCAAAACTAAATCCGACGCAGAAACTGCAGGGGATTCCCTTGCAAGAGCTTGAAAGCTGGTAACCTTTTGTCAGCCTCCGGC